ACTCAATGGAATCCGTTGAAATCTCTCTCTGAACAGTTTTTCTTCTTGCAAATGGATTTGGTGCTGGACACTCTTTCTGCAACCCATATCAAACTCATTCTTGGGAAACAGTCTCTGAATAATTAACACAAAACCATATAGCCCAAAAAACTGTCCAATTTTGCAAAAAAAAATAAGCTCTTTTTAGAAAGAATCTGTCAGGGCTCCGGGTATGACCAGAGGGGTGTGGACTGACACAGGGAAATGCAGGGTTCAGATATAGTATAAACAATATAATTTATTTAAGACTAAACAATACATAAACGCAGTGCAAGACTAAACAGACAGTGCAAACAAACCAAACCAAAACCCCCAACAGATAACAAAAGAACAATACTAAGCGTAGTCGGGCAGGCCGGGTCCATAGCAAACGGGCAGGCAAGGTACAAAGGAGCAGGCAGAGAGTAGTCAGACGGGCCGGGTCAGGAACAATCAGGCAGACAAGGTACCAAAGGAGCAGACTGGAGAGTGGTCAGGAATAGCAGAGGTCAGGACAGGCGGAGTTCAATCAGAGTCAGGGATCAAGCAGGATCAGACAGGAAGCAGACAGGATGCAGGTACAGGGGCTCTTGGGAAACATACACCAAGGCCCTGATTGCAAGTCTGGCCATTCCTTATATGCACCTCCTGCAATCAGCCTCAGGTGTTTTGGCTGACTGCAGGAGTGAGCCTCTGGTTGCTGAGAGCACCCGCTGGCCAGTCCTGGTACTGCAACCCACAAGGCAGGTGAGTCCCACCACTATTGGCGAGTCCATTCCTGACAGTACCCCCCCCCCTCAAGGAGCGGCCTCAGGATGCTCCAAACCATCCTAAATGGGCAAAATGTTCCACCGCCCGGATCCGGTAATTGGCGGGATATCAAGGACTGGTACATCAGGCTGGGCACCGGGCAGAGGCACATCAGGCTGGGCACCGGACGGAGGCACATCAGGCTGGGCACCGGACAGAGGCACATCAGGATGGGCACCGGACAGAGGCACATCAGGCTGGGCACCCAGGACAGAGGCACATCAGGCTGGGCACCGGACAGAGGCACATCAGGCTGGGCACCGGACAGAGGCACATCAGGCTGGGCACCGGACAGAGGCACATCAGGCTGGGCACCGGACAGAGGCACATCAGGCTGGGCACCGGACAGGTGGCACATCAGGCTGGGCACCGGGCCACCAGGTGGAGCAGCGGGCACCGGGCCACCAGGCGGAGCAGCGGGCACCGGGCCACCAGGCGGAGCAGCAGGCACCGGGCCACCAGGCGGAGCAGCGGGCACCGAGTCATCTGGCAAAACAGCGGGCACCGGGTCATCTGGCAAGACAGCGGGCTCCGAGTCATCTGGCAAGACAGCAGGCACCGAGTCATCTGGCAAGAGGCACCGGGCACCAGTCATCATCTGGCAAGACAGCGGGCACCGAGTCATCTGGCAAAACAGCGGGCATCGGGTCGTCAAGCTCGACAGCGGGCACCGAGTCATCTGGCAAGACAGCGGGCACCAAGTCATCTGGCAAGACAGCGGGCATCATGTCGTCAAGCTCAACAGCGGGCACAGAGTCATCTGGCAAGACCGCGGGCACCGAGTCATCTGGCAAGACAGCGGGCATCGGGTCTTTAAGGACAGCGGGCACCGAGTCATCTGGCAAGACAGCGGGCACCGTGTCATCTGGCAAGACAGCGGGCACCGAGTCATCTGGCAAGACTGCGGGCGCCGAGTCATCTGGCAAGACAGCGGGCACCGAGTCATCTGGCAAAACAGCGGGCATCGGGTCGTCAAGTCACAGCGGGCACTGAGTCATCTGGCAAGACAGCGGGCACCGAGTCATCTGGCAAGACAGCGGGCACCGAGTCATCTGGCAAGACAGCGGGCACACGAGTCATCTGGCAAGACCGCGGGCCGGAGTCATCTGGCAAGACAGCGGGCATCGGGTCTTTAAGCTCGACAGCGGGCACCGAGTCATCTGGCAAGACAGCTGGCACCGAGTCATCTGGCAAAACTGCGCGCACCGAGTCATCTGGCAAAACTGCGGGCATCGGGTCGTCAAGCTTGACAGCGGGCACCGAGTCATCTGGCAAGACAGCGGGCACCGAGTCATCTGGCAAGACAGCGGGCACCGAGTCATCTGGCAAGACAGCGGGCACCGGGTCATCAGGCATCGGATCGTCTGGCTCGACAGCGGGGCACCGGGTCATCTGGCTCGACAGCGGGGCACCGGGTCATCTGGCATCAGGTCATCTGGCTCGACAGCGGTACCGGGTCATCTGGTTCGACAGCGGGCACCGGGTCATCAGGCATTGGATCGTCTGGTTCGACAGCGGGTACCGGGTCATCTGGCTTGACAGCGGGCACCGGGTCATCTGGCAACAGGTCATCTGGCTCGATCAGTACAACAGGCTGGGTAGGAACATCAGGCTGGGTAGAACCATCAGGCTGGGTAGAACCATCAGGCTGGGTAGCGTACACTGGGTCATCAGGCATCAGGGTATCAGGCTGAATTGCAGGTGCCGGGGCACCAGGCTGAACCACGGAAGGCGGGTTCTCAGACGGCAGGCTGACCGGTTTGGATACTGGCAGGATGGTACTGGTTGGAAAGAATTTTCGCTTTTTCCTGGTTTTAGTTACTGGAGCACAGAAAGTAAGCGCAGGTTTGTAAGTGGATAGAGCAGCTGTAGGCAGAGAAGAGCTGGGGGATGGAACAAAGGAGGGAGCAGTTGCTACAGAGGACTTCTTTACAGGGATAAAGAAAGGATAGGTGCAGCGAGTGGGAGCAGGGGACTGATATGTGGTAGTTAGCAGAGTATACTGGGCTGTCACTGGGGGTGCTGTCGGGGATGCAGGAAGAGTGCCTTGAGCAGAGGAATGACGTTGCAAGCTGACTGAGGCTGGGTGCAAAAAGTCTGACCATGTCTGCAGTATGGGTTGAACAAAGCTCAGCTTACACAAAGCCTGTCTGGTCAAAGACTGCACTGTGTTTATACAGTCTCTTAGTACCTGTTGTGAACATGCAGAATAACGCTCCAGAAAGTAATCCACATCATCCTCCAATAACCATACCAGGGACTCTACCTGGTCGGCACTAAATGGCGGCAAAAATTCATCCTGCTTTCGGGGGTACCAGATGAAACCAACTCTGCACAAACCTGAATCAATGGTTGCACCTCAGAGAACTCTGTGCCCTGATCTACTAGGCAATGAGCGATCCTTATGCACTCTAATAGTTGATCCCTGGTATACTCCTTTGGAGTCTGATAAGCATAATCTCTGTCATCAAACACTAGCAGAGACAAATACACCACCTCATCAAGATTCATCCTTCCCAGCAACAATAAGCCAAGATGGCTTCCCTGTGCAGCCACTTCTGGTCAGGATGGGCCTTGGTGTAATGCAGGGCTCCAGATATGACCAGAGGTGTGTGGACTGACACAGGGAAACGCAGGCTTCAGATATAGTATAAACAATATAATTTATTTAAGACTAAACAATACATAAACGCAGTGCAAGACTAAACATAGACACAGTGCAAACAAACCAAACCAAAACCCCCAACAGATAACAAAAGAACAATACTAAGCGTAGTCGGGCAGGCCGGGTCCGTAGCAAATGGGCAGGCAAGGTACAGAGGAGCAGGCAGAGCGTAGTCAGACGGGCCGGGTCAGGAACAATCAGGCAGACAAGGTACCAAAGGAGCCGACTGGAGAGTGGTCAGGAATAGCAGAGGTCAGGACAGGCGGAGTTCAATCAGAGTCAGGGATCAAGCAGGATCAGACAGGAAGCAGACAGGATGCAGGTACAGGGGCTCTTGGGAAACATACACCAAGGCCCTGATTGCAAGTCTGGCCATTCCTTATATGCACCTCCTGCAATCAGCCTCAGGTGTTTTGGCTGACTGCAGGAGTGAGCCTCTGGTTGCTGAGAGCACCCGCTGGCCAGTCCTGGTACTGCAACCCACAAGGCAGGTGAGTCCCACCACTATTGGTGAGTCCAGTCCTGACAGAATCTATATTGTACAAATCCATGTAAAAAGACCAGTGCATATATGATGTGCAGCAGCTGCCGCCGCCACAACACTCAGGATGTACACTCACCATATGGCGAGAACAAAGGTCAGTATGCACTTGTCCCCATTAGGAATTCCTTCACATTGCAAGTCTTCTCTGTACCCAATCCCTCAGGACTGTGGCCCAATAATCACTGAAACCACAGGAAACAAAATATAGAAGCTCCAGACAGTATAATACTGTAATAAAAGTTATTTATTTTTTTTTTACAATAAAATAAACTGGCATAAGGCTTACTATAAATGCTGTCAAGTAGTGCCAATAGCACCAATCTATGTGTTTTGTCCAACAGGACATCTTCAGGGGCTGGTTGTACTGACTTTCTAATCCCTTTAAAAAACCCTATCGCCCACCCTATCAGCATACATTTGGCAATCAATTAAATCCACTGCCTCGTTCTTGGCACATCAACTCTCCACAGCCAAATATATTGCCAGTCCAGCAGGTTTTAAAAGACCAATATGGAAGAGTAAAAAAAATTTAAATGGTGACCACCGGCTGAGTGACATCAACCAACAGTGGATTTTAGCCTGCTGTTGGCTGAATACAGGTCACAGAAAGAAGTGCACTCCTATGATTCCCATAAATAGGGGCAAAATAGCTTTGGCCCTACTTCTCCTTTAAATAGAACTAAACTAGATACATGATGCAGACAACCTACAAAAGATATACAGTACATCATCCTAACAAACCTATGACACATATACATTTTTTACAAAATTATATAATGCTATCTTCAAACATGATGATAAATTAATACAAATATACTCAGTATGTAATAATAGAAAGTATGCATAATATCAATGAATTAATAAAATTATAGATAAGCTGTGACCTTGCAAGGCTCTGCCACTGTGAAAAAGTAGGAAAAGGGGACACAGGGTTTACATGAATGCAGTCGAACCAGATATCGTATGTACTCTCCAGCGCCTCAGGATATGCACAGCCAAAAGGGAAGCCAAGGGTACCAGGACAGCGACAACCAAAGGAAATGCTTCAGGGGTGCAGCCCTCCTCAGATGGGGAAATCAGCCACTGGATAGAGAGAAAACAGGTGGCGCACACACCTAGTGCATTATCCAAGGTTTATTGTAGGAGTGAAAGAATAATAAAAACATACTCACAGACGAAGAATGTATCTAAAAAGCATAGAAAAATGACAATGGCCACAACGGCAGGCAAGGTGTTCTCACTCTGATAAATAAAAATAAACAGCGCAAACATAGACCTCTCTATCACAACAAATATATAAAGTGCAAACATATATAGAAAATTATTAGTAGTGAAAGTCCATCATGATAATAGACAACAAAAGTTCAGAAAATTCGTGCAAAAAGATCATCAAAAATTCTTCTAATGAAAAGAAAAACTTCCACCTTCCACCCGTGCAAACCAACATCAAATGCACTCACCAGATATAGGTGAATGAAACGCCTTTTAGGAATTTTTATGGGATCCTAAACCCTCTTTCGTGTCCACTCTATAGGAATCCTCACCTTCAGTATAGGCTCCCCGGTTGTATGGTGGAGCCTATACTGAAGGTGAGGATTCCTATAGAGTGGACACGAAAGAGGGTTTAGGATCCCATAAAAATTCCTAAAAGGCGTTTCATTCACCTATATCTGGTGAGTGCATTTGATGTTGGTTTGCACGGGTGGAAGGTGGAAGTTTTTCTTTTCATTAGAAGAATTTTTGATCTTTTTGCACGAATTTTCTGAACTTTTGTTGTCTATTATCATGATGGACTTTCACTACTAATATAATTTTCTATATATGTTTGCACTTTATATATTTGTTGTGATAGAGAGGTCTATGTTTGCGCTGTTTATTTTTATTTATCACATTTTGTGTTTATCACATTGCACAGCAGCAGGATAGATCCTGTAGTAGTGTTTTTCACTTGGCGCAGGAAGAATTTTTAGTTTAGTTAAGGTGTTCTCACTGTCAGTGCGGTCAAATAGCTGACGCGTTTCGGGGACAAATCCCTTTCCTCAGAGCTGATGACCAGCCTCTGATGCTGATGTATGATGAATGGAAAGTAAGAGCCTTGCTGTTGATGCCACAACAACAAGGCTCTTACTTTCCATCCATCATACATCAGCATCAGAGGCTGGTCATCAGCTCTGAGGAAAGGGATTTGTCCCCGAAACGCGTCAGCCATTTGACCGCACTGACAGTGAGAACACCTTGCCTGCCGTTGTGGCCATTGTCATTTTTCTATGCTTTTTAGATACATTCTTCGTCTGTGAGTATGTTTTTATTATTCTTTCACTCCTACAATAAACCTTGGATAATGCACTAGGTGTGTGTGCCACCTGTTTTCTCTCTTTACATGAATGCAGAGTTCAGGGCTCCTGAAGATCAAGTTTGAGTGAAGAAAAAACTGTTTTTTTCCGCTTTTGGGCATTACCGGATTGAGTTACGGAGTTTGAAGTCACCAAAGAGCTTTTGGAGGGAAAAGTCTCCAACCTCGCGTCTAAGTCTTGCCGAAAACCAACAGGCTGTGTGTGAAGGTGTAAAGTGAAGGGATTGCTCTCATTCCCAGATGGGAGCAAGCACATACTGACCTCTGTGCTTGAGAGATCTCACCATCTGCTGAGTGTTGTGGTGGTGGCTTTGCACATCATATGTTTATGCATTGATCCTTTAACATGGATAGGTTCTATCAATTGGTAATAGCTTGGCCTTTTTGCAAAGTTTAACAGTTTTTGGTGGCTATATGGTTTTGATTTAACTATTCATAGTGCAGCAAATTATACTAAAGTTCTCTATGGTCTTTATACCATATATCATTCTTATTTTGCAGGCTGCTTTTTGTATTAGCACAGATTTATTTTTGTTTTGTTTTTTTTATTTTTTATTCAGATAAATTGTTTGTTTTTGTGCTATCAGTATTCAAGCCTGTAATTTTACTACGGAGTCAGTAACATTGCAAAGGGGCATGGATTCCTCCTCGGGTTCATTGCAAGGCCCTTGACAACCCTATTTCATTGAACAGCTCCACCTGTGTCCCTTCCCTGTGGATCAGCTTCAAGCAACAACAGGGCTTGGCTGGTCCCTGCTTAGCTTGACTGATGCTCGTTTATACACCACTTTTCCTTACTGCAGTATTATTATTATTATACAGGATTTATATAGCGCCAACAGTTTGCTCAGCCCTTTACAATATAACGGGAGACAATACAGCAACAATACAGTTCCATACAAGAGGGATTTGAGGGCCCTGCTCCTTGGAGTTTACAGTCTAGGAGTATTATTTTGTCCTTATCCAGTCTCCACAACTTTTCCTCTTCTTCCACTGGGACATTCTGCACTAAACTTTGGTTTCCCTTTGTAGCATGGTTGTACATCCTATGTCGCTGGGTTACTCTCTGAGACAAGGGGAGAGAGTAAATGCTAAGTCAATATTTGTCCCCACTATCAGAGAACTCATGTTGTAACCCGGCAGGCAAGAACACATGATGACTAGGGTGTCAAATGTTTCTGACTGCCTGACTATGGATGGGTCAAATACCAACTTGACTGGCAAGTAAAAATCATATGGGAAATTCTCAGTTTTGATACCCCGGTTTTGTCTGCACTGAATACACAATGTCAAAGGAAGTGTGTTGGAGGGTTTCTCAGAAAAAGCATATGGGGCCCTAGATGGGATTTTAGACCTCTACTAACATTTCTTAATTTCTCTGGAACTCGAGCTAACTGTTGTAGGTGGGTACTCAGTTGGTTTTTCACCAGGGCCCTCTTTAGTTTCTCAACAGCTTCATGATCAGTAGCTTCCCAAAAGCTTCTAGGACTGCAGCGTCTGGAGGGAATCCCCTCCTTGGAAACTGTGCTTTAAAATATCCAGTCTCCCCACAGCTGTAATATTTTATATTGACATATTGGCACAATTTTTCTGGTCTACCTTCCCATTTGATCTTCCCTTCCAAGCACAATCTGGCCACAGTCCTGTGCATATCTGAGAGGGATTGTTGCATTCTGGCTTGAGTCTCAACAACTTTGTACAACTGTCTTATGAACTTTAGAGAAGGCTTGCTGTACAGTAGAATATGACTGAGTTATCTGTGTTATGGCCTGCAAAAGGGCCACAAGAACAGGAGGTATCCCTCTCTCTATTTCTTCAGCTACGGTCAGGACACATTGTACTGAATATGCAATGGAATCGCCATCAACTTGCCCATGACCCTTCACAGCATTTGGTTTTGGGGCTTGGCTGCAACCAGGGCTTTTTCGTCTTGGATTTACTGGATCATATTTCAATACATCAAGGTCATCCTTACATTAGGTGTCATCCTTGTCCCCTGAGGGTACAGGGACCTTCCCAGAGTAAAACTGCAGATTTCTGTACCCACAATAGATGGGTACAGATGAGTTATTCAAGAAGCTCTCCACCAGCCTTCCCACATCCATTAAGGAGTAGGTGGGCGGGAGTCTGAGTATGGTGCAGAGGTTACAGCAAACACTGCTAGGTCTGTCACCACCTGGGATTCACCTAGAATTTATTTTCTGTTGGACTTTAAAGCGGTTGTAAACATTAATTTTTTTCCTGAAATAAAATTTACCTGCCCTGTAATATTTACCTGCCCTGTGCCCCTTACCTCCTCTTCTAGGGTCCCTTGCCAGCACTCTCCACTCCTTCTCTTCTCCAAATGATTCATTACATGCTAGATACTGTGGGGGCACTCATGCAGGCTTGCTCCCAAACTGGGCTTTGTGCATCTATAGGAATACACAGTGAAGCTGGGCTCCACCCACAATTCCTTCTTACAGGATTTGATTGACAGCAGCAGGAGCCAATGGCGCCCACTGCCATTACAGCATTTAGTGAATACAAGATAACTGCTGCTTCTGCAGACTGCTGCTGCAGTCAGAGCATTACTGGACTGAGGGAGGTGCAAGGCAGGAGGGCTGTAAAGTAGACTAGGGTGCAAGGAAGGGGGGGCGCAAAGGGGACTTGGGTGCAAGGAAGGAGGGATGTAAAGGAGACTGGGGTGCAAGGAAGTGGGGTTGTAAAATGGATGGGGGTGCAAGGAAGGGAGGCTGTGAAGGGTACTGGGTTGCAAGGAAGGGGGCTGTTAAGAGGACAGAGGTGCAAGGAAGGGGGGGATGTAAAGGGGACTGGAGTGCAAGGTGAGTGGCTGAGAAGGGGACTGGGGTATAAGGAATGGGGGCTGTGAAGGGGATGGAGGTGCAAGGAATTGGGGGCTGTGAAGAGGACAGAGGTGCAAGGAAGAGGGGCTGTGAAGGGGGTGGAGGTGCAAAAGAGGTGGGGCTGTAAAGGGGACTGAAGTGCAAGAAGGGAGGTTTTGAAAGGAACTGGGGTGCAAGGAAGGAGGGCTATGGAGGAGACTGGGATGCAAGGAAGGAGGGCTGTGAAGATGACTGGGGTGCATGGAAGGGGGTTATGAAGGGGGCTGGGGTACAATGAAGGGGGGCTGTGAAGGGGACGGAGGTGGAAGGAAGGAGGGCTGTGAAGTGGATGGAGGTGCAAGAAACGGAGGGCTATAAAGGGGACTGGAGTGCAAGGAGGGGGGCTGTGAAGCGGATTTAGCTGCAAGGAAGGGGGCTGTGAAGGGGACTGGGGTGCAAGGAAGGGGGGCTGTAAAGGGGACTGGAGTGCAAGGAAGAGGGGGATGTAAAGGAAACTGGAGTGCAAGAAAGGAGGGCTGTAAAGGAGACTAGGATGCAAGGAAGAGGGGGCTCTGAAGGGGACTGGGGTGCAAAGAAGGGGGGCAGTAAAGGGGACTGGAATAGACTGTACTACTTACTAGAAGAGTGGAGGCTGTTTTAGTCTCAAACAGAGGTCCAACTCCATATTAATTTCCATTGTTTTGGAAAAGGATATCCAACAGGTTAATATAGGCGTGAGGATCAGATGTTCACAAACTTTTGTGTTTCTATATACTCTTTGGAGTACACATACATCCTAAAATTATTTCTATACAGTGGGGGTTATTTACTAAAATTGGAAATTGCAAAATCTGGTGCAACTCTGCATAGAAACCAATCAGCTTCCAGGTTTTATTATTAACTGAACACGCTGAAGTTAGAAGCTGATTGGCTATCATGCACAGCTGCACCAGATTCTGAGTGCTCCATTTTTACTAAATCTACAACATAGTCCCTTTCCAACCAACTTCCTTTCCAAGCTGATATTTTGACAAATGAAAATTGTCACAATTTAGTTTAGAGATCAGCAAATGTTGTGTTGAAATGTCCATATATGACTAGATTGACAAATAGATTATTTTTCTGAGTGTCTTTGTACTACTATTACATGTGTAAATATAAGTGTATATCTATATAAGTACCATATTCCCTGTCCCCAGACACACTCTGATGATAATATGGTTATTGATCGCCATTGATTGCTATCACTTATCTGGAAATGCTGATGGAGCAGGGAAGGGGTTTAACCCTCCATTATCCAGTAAACAGCTGAAGAGGGCAGTATGGGTAGCTCTCCCTCACTGGGCACTGTGACTGTAATATGGACAGGGAACAGATTTTGAGTTTTCATATTTAAGGTATTAGGTGTCACATATTCTCAGACAGCATCAAAGCACTACTGTGTATGGTGGTGATACTTAGACATTGTTACTTCAAGATTGTGATAGGTAAACTCTTGATACCAGCATGAAAGGAGTTAATGGGTTAATGTGCTTTGTACATCTCTGACAGGAATGGCATTGAGTGAAGGTTTGTATATACTAGATGGATCTTTAAAATCAAAAGGTAATGTTCTGCATGTAGGCAGGAAATGGGTTAAGGCTAGTCTCAGCACTCTGATATTATATATTTTGCTTTGTGTCAACCTGTCTGCAGAAGCTGTGACAGACTGAGGACACAGAGCACAGAGCATCACAGAGTGCTGTGCTCGAGAAGCAGAGAGTGCTGTGCCCGAGAAGCAGAGAGTGCTGTGCCCAAGAAGCAGAGAGTGCTGTGCCCAAGAAGCAGAGAGTACTGTGCTTGAGAAGCAGAGAGTGCTGTGCTTGAGAAGCAGAGAGTGCTGTGCTTGAGAAGCAGAGAGTGCTGTGCCAGAGAGTGCAAGAAGCAGAGAGTGCTGTGCCCAAGAAACTGAGAGTGCTGTGCCCGAGAAGCAGAGTGCTGTGCCTGAGAAGCTGAGAGTGCTGTGCCCAAGAAGTAAAAAGTGCTGTGCCCGAGAAGCAAAGAGTGCTGTGCCCGAGAAGCAGAGTGCTGTGCCCAAGAGAAGAAGGGACTGCTATGCCCAAGAAGCAGAGAGCACTGTTCCCAAGAGACACAGAGTGCTGTTCCTAAAAACAAGGAGTGCTTTGCCCAAGAAACATAGAGTGCTGTTTCAAATAAGCAGAGAGTGTTGTGCCCAAGAAGCAGAGACTGCTGTGCCCAAGAAGCAGAAAGTACTGTGCCTGAGAAACAGAGTGCTGTGCCTAAGAAACAGGGAGTGCTGTGCCCAAGAAGCAGAGAGTGCTGTACCTAGGAAGCTAAGTCCGAAGCTTAACAGAACCAGTGAGAATGAGGATTATTCTATGTCACTCCTTCTGTCACCCTCCTCCCTTTACTACCTCTTTCATTTCTAATTGATTAACTTTCCTGCTGACCGCCTACTGCTTTCTTTCACACCTTCTTCTCATCAATACTTACCCTCTCTTTCCCTCTCTTCATCAGTTGCCGTCACTCACTTGGAGGCAATTAATCTATTTCCTTATTGTCTTTGCTTTTTCAGCCATTTTTCTATCATATGCATTGTCTGTATTAATTATGATTATTAATATCTTTCATTATGACTTCTGATGACACATTTAGGCAAGCAGCAAGAATATGTCCAGAATTGTCTGGTAGAAGCTTCTCCTGCTTAACGTTGATAGCATCACAGAGTGCATTGACTCCTTTTGTAATTCTAGGCTTATTCAAATGGCATTTACCATTTACGTCTCTCATCTTGTCGCTTTCTAAATGATTTTTAAAAATATTTTAGGTGCCCCATATCACACCATCTTTCTTTAAGAATGGATGGGCATGGTGCATGGAATAATAAAGTATAATTTGTAGCTTAGAGTTCCTTTTAGATGGACATGGTGCGTGGAATAAAAAAGTACATATTTGTAGTTTAGAGATCCTTTTAAATGGTCAAAATAGGCCACCCTAGAAGATTTAACGGATTTGAGTAAACATGGATACATCCAAATTTGTAAGAGCCAGATGTTTAGCTGCTGAGCCATACTGCTGGCTTATGCAGAGAATAGCAAAAATGCTCCTAAAATGTACAGGGCAAGATGAAGTCATCATTATCCTCATCATCATCCTCTTCCTCTATACTCATTATCCATTCCTCCCGTATGAGTGTATAAAGACCAGACAGGAACACCATATGCACTCTGTTCTGGTTTAAAAACAATCTGATCAGTTAGGTATTTGTCCAGTATACGGGAGGTAAGTTTTTTAGTGTGAATATGTAGACTGTGTTTTCACTAAATGTTTGTGCATAATGATCAGTGTATCTCTGCAGTATGGATAGAAAATAGAAAATGTATGTGGTGACACTGCCAGACAATCCAGCACATGTGCTAATGTATGTACTAAAACAGTTTTCAAATATGACCGATGATGGACTTGCTATTATCTGTTGTTTGGCTTCTTCTGTCCCGTGAAGGGGTTAAGTGGTAAGGTTAAGTGGCAAGTACTACTGGTACTGCTCTTTATTGATTGTCATCATCATCATTTATGAGAGTCTTGAGAAAATGTGGAGCATTAACCCCTTGACTGCCAACAATAAGCAAGTGTAGTGGGAGGGTGAAATGACACTGCAGCTCTCCATCATCAGGGATATTTGCTCCCCTGCATTTTACCAAGGTGGGTGGGGTTGCTATGCAGTGCTGCATGGCTCCAGCAGGCAAGAGAGTGATGCTATGCAATGCAAAACACATTAGATGATTTTATATGGCTGCTAGTTGAAAGAGTTAAGAGAAGATTTCTAGACAGGGAATAAGTTGTGTCCAGCAAGTCTTAGCAGATTAGTATTAATTGATGCATTTGTCATCCATTTGGACTGTTATATTGATACTGAAGATGAGCCAGCCTAGTTCAGGAGCACTGTGGTGTCTTACATGGCACAGAGGAAAAAGATCAACTTCATCTTGCTCAGACAGTGAGATGCTATAGCACTTGGTAGTATACTGGTATCATGGGGCTTAGGTCCCTAGACTGTGCATTGAATGAGTGGTGTCATGCATAGCAGTGTAGGGGCTGTCCTACGTTCTTCAGTACACTTGCAGAATAAGCAGAAGTGAGAAGCTTTGCATCCGCACAACTGCTGGTAAGTGGAGCAGGTCTCCTGACTACTGGCAGAACAGTGGTTAATGTATGTATTATCTTTTGCATGACTTTTGTGATACCTCTTTGCATCATGATGATTATTTTCCTGTATCATAATGTTCTGCATCTGCATCCTTCTGCCTGTGCCTTTCAATTCCAGCCTATTTTTCCATCTCTCATTGCTATCCAGCCTCATTTACCTTCCCCTCCTGTCTCAGTGCCTATATCTGTATGACTCTCTCTATCTCTTATTCAGTCCTAATTTCCACGCCCATGCAGTGTGTGGATAGGAGGGAGGAATCAGTGTGGTGGGTATCACTCTCCTCCGGACATCTACAGCACAGGCTGAGCTGCAGGCCCTGCTGTAGGGGGCCATACCTGTCTGAGTGTGTGAGTGTCTACCTGTATGCTCCTTATACCCTATAGATTGCCCCCCCCCCCCACTTGTTCTAGGACGTGGTCCCGGTAAGTAGTAAGACTCAAGAACCCTTGTCTAGAAAGCTTACATTCTTATACTTGGAGATGTTCCTATAGTAATTTGTATATACAATATGCCTCTGGTAATCTGAGAATATGAGATTGTACAGTTTTGTGGAATGTACCTCTTTCATAATTTTGTTTATACACTGTTTTTTACATGCACAATATATTATGCCAAAGCTGACTGCCTAGGGATTAGGAAAATCTTTTTTTAAGGAAACAAACACAGCTTTCTTTAAATCTGCAATTGCTGTTACTATAATGGTATAAATATATTTGCATACATTCATACATTTTAATTTGTATTTTCAGTTAATTAACCAATATTTATAATTGCTTCTAGTTTAATGACTCCTGTAAACACTGAAAAATCAATACAGGTGAAGCTGTTTGTGAAACTTGGATGTCTTATATAGAAGCTTTATTAAAGTGCAGATTTACGACGATCCAATAAACTTGTCAGCTTAGATTTAACCATGCCCTTGAAGCTTTGGGAACCTAAAAATATTTGTTATAATTTAATTCTTGCTGAATTAATACTTAGTAGTAAAAACCTTTTGTGTATTTAAGCAGCGCATTTACAAGTAATATATAAAATGGTTTCTGTACAATTATGCTGCATAAAACGATGATAAAACATACCCATTAATCTGAGCATTTGGAAAATAAATTATATAATTTTTACTACCCTTCAAACTACTTTGCTAGTATGCAAGAGTACATATTGGTCTATCTATCCTATTCAGTTGGTTATTAGTATTAATTGCTACAATTCTAGATAACGCAGTTGATTTTATGTACTAATATACTGACCATTCAGTAGTTACTCTAATCATCCTGACATAAATAAGAATACTAAATTAAGTTATTTGTGTAGTTGTTATTCCTACCTTTTTGCTCAAATTATACCTTATTGTTTTTTGTTTTTTTCTAGTGTCTTGTCGCTCCCCGGTAGGGCAACTACCTAACAGCTTCCTGTACCCACTATCCTGCTCCTCCGAGGATTCCATATTACTTGGAGATCAAACTGGCACTGAGGAGGTGGTAGTAGCCAGCAAAAACGTCATGAAGAAGAAGACTGTGCTGGCATTGTTTGGTATAGTGCTAGGGTACCTGGTTACAGGAGCGGTGGTCTTCCAGAAGCTTGAACAACCCTTTGAGGCTATGCAGCAGAGCCTACTCAAAAGACAACGAGATGAGTTCCTTGCAGAACACTCCTGTGTTAGAGAGGAATCCCTGGAAACCTTTGTGTTGGTAAGAAATAGACATAGAATGATAACATTTGGATTCATACAAATATGTAGAAATGCTTAGTTTACAAGACATATAATGGCAAAGAGCTATATGGAAACAACTAATGAGCAGTCATCTTCCATTGTTTTGTTTGACCTGAAGGTGAACTTAACCTGAAGTCCTATGGTAAATGTACATTGTTGCTCTCCACTCTGCCATATTAATTAAGGCCATTGACTTCTGTGGAAAAAGTCTGCTCTGCATTCTTAATGTGGCAACAAGTATTGCCTGTAATATATTATGCAGGCAACAGAGGTGGGGGGATATTTAGCACAAAGTAAAGAAAGTTTCCATTTTTATCTGTCTTCCAGTTGCTAACAACATAGTAAATAGAGACAATATTTCCTTATCTCCATATTCTGGATATACGGATTTTAGAATCATGGACTTATTACTTACTCTTATCCCTAGGGCTTGCAAAGGAAAAAAAAGATTACAGCAACATGATTATCTACATTAATTACCTTACTGGTAAATTAACTAAAAAAAAATTAACATTTCCAGGATGCTGGAAACTAGAACTGAATTACCTCATTTGGTGAATATTATAACTCTTCTTTAGCCATACGTACAAAATATAAGGAAACACAATTGTAATTACATAAGCTAAAAAACTTGACTGTTCTATAGTTGTTGTCATCCTCTTACCTTCTGCCATAGAGAGAAAACTGATTGGAATTGTATAGCCAGAATGTCATTTGGACACACTCCCTCTCTTATTCTGCATTATTTAGTAACACTCATGTTTTGTCTATGTTTTGTTCTTTAGTCATGCTTACGGTTATGTCTGCAGGACATGTAAAGATAAATCTTTCATGCAAGCCCACATCCATACTCCTCTGTGTTTAGCTTTGTCATTAAAGAGGGTGGAGTCAGGATTATGGCAAGGACTGGATTGCCATCACTGTGAGCACACAAGTCTTGATACCCAAAGCAAACCAGCTGTGCTAGGGTCATCCCTTTTTCACAGAATATTGTTCTACTGGCCAAGAATGCTATGAAAAAAATGTGTGTATATAATATACATACATCTATATTTTTGATGATGGTGGGAAAAATGTCTTGCCTATAACTAGTGGAAAAGGCTTTCTTTTTGCCTTCACTGCAACAGGCACAGGCTCACTGTTTCTAATGGAAAATACACCCTAATCAAGACTTTCCAATTCATCTATCCATATCAGTGATACATTTCAAACCACTATGTACTATGATCAGGCCCTGAACTGCAGTGTTGTGCTATATTGGAATGACACAGACCTTTTCTCGATTGTAATCAACCTGATCTATAGACGATTTGGCCATCCTTGGGGATAACCAGGTCTGGTAGATATGGTTATCCTGCACATTGTTTGGGGGGCAATGGAAGCAAATGTAACAATGTTACATTTACATGCTGATGTATTCACATCTTCTATTCTAATGGTTTGATAGCCAAGTTAATATCCTTCAACTTCAGATGCTGACAGCTGACAGCAAAAGGGTGGTCACTCTTATAGAAGCCATAAAAGCTTATTCTAACAAGAATCTATATTCGTATGGGAGCTTTTTACAACTTTCAGCTCACAGGAACATCCAAAAACAAAGCAGCCCAGCCCTGTTCCTTTTACACCCCTATTTCTCTTATTGGAGTATTCCAAAAATTCAGGTCTGAATATACATACTTTACAGTTGTATAATAGAAATATGTATTCTGAAATAAAAATCCATCTAGCAAATAAAACACTTCCACAGGTGATATGTGTATGGATAACCCAAAAGTTGAATAATGGCACTTTTAGTGTATATAACTATGCAAAACAACATGAACAAAGAATAAGAATGCAATGACCGTTTTACCTAATTTATCAAGGAGAAATATTAAATTGGTCCAGTCATTCTTAGATGATGTGGCAGGCTGCAGTCCTGTGCAATGTTGTGTGCGAGCCAAAGCCACTCCTCTTTGGAAACAAATGTGCATAGATTGATTGTGTACCATTCATATCTTTGATCCATTCAATGAGTTTGATTATATCATCTGTTGCAGACACATTTTACTGCAATCTGTATTATATCAGGAAACTTACTTTGCTACATCTACTGTATGAATGCATTTAACTTGGACAGAATAAACAATGAAGGGGGCATACTGTGAATACACACATACCTACCTACGTATTTAGTATATAAAGTATTTATTGTTGTTTGCATATCCTATAGGTTTTGGCCATATATGTACTTTAAGGCAGTGTTTTTCAACCTTTTTTGTGCAAAGGCACACTTTTTTCATGAAAAAAATCACGAGGCACACCACCATTAGAAAATGTTAAAAAATTACCTCTGTGCCTATATTGACTATATATAAAGTAATTCTCTTGAATAGGAATCAAACACAAAGAAATTATTTTATAATTACTTTATTATGAAATAATAAAGTATTTTATAATTGGACCCGGGGGCCGGACCAAGAGTAGATGAATGATGTGTATGTGTCATCCATAGTAAGTATAGTAATATTCCCCCATAGTAAGCATAGTAATTAATCCCCCATATAGTAATTCATCCTCCATATAGTAATTCATCCCCCATAGTAATTCATCCCTCATATAGTATTTCATTCCCCCCCATATAGTATTTCATCCCCCCATATAGTATTTCATCCCCATATAGTATTTCATCCCTCATATAGTAATTCATCCCTCATATAGTATTTCATCCCTCATATAGTATTTCATCCCTCATATAGTATTTCATCCCCCATATAGTATTTCATCCCCCCATATAGTATTTTCATCCCCTCATATAGTATTTCATCCCTCATAGTAAGTATCATTATAGTATTCATCCCCCCATATAGTATTTCATTTCATCCCTCATACAGTAATTCATCCCTCATATAGTAATTCATCCCCCATATAGTATTTCATCCCTCATATAGTATTTCATCCCCCATATAGTATTTCATCCCTCATATAGTAATTCATCCCCCCATATAGTATTTCATCCCCCCATATAGTATTTCATCCCCCCATATAGTATTTCATCCCTCATATAGTAATTCATCCCTGATATAGTAATTCATCCCCCATATAGTATTTCATCCCCCCATATAGTATTTCATCCCTCATAAAGTAATTCATCCCTCATATAGTATTTCATCCCCCACAGTACTATTCCCCCCCCCCCCCCTTCTAGTAAGCCAAGTCCCCCGTGTCAATTCACTTACCTTTTGCGTTCCTCTCGCTGTCTTCCCGCGCCGTTCGGGTCTTCAGGGCGGACTGTGAGAGGAGCCTAGCTCCCCTCCCCTCACGTTCGGCACGCTGCCCCGCCTACACACATCCTGACAGCCACATCCGCAAGCCGGATTAAAAGGTCCGCGCGGACTTTTGGGGCTGCCAACCGAGAGGAGGCAGGGGAGCGGCCGACCGAGAGGAGGGAGGGGAGCAGGCGCCCGGCACACAGAAGAGCCGCATTAGACTGGGTAAAGAGCCGCATGTGGCTCGCGAGCCGCGGCTTGCCGACCACTGAATCATTAGATTCTAATGATTGGTCTATTTGTGAGCCGAAGCCACATGTTACAGATGAAATTGGAATTTTTCCCACGGCACACCAGAGAATATCTCACGGCACACTAGTGTGCCGCGGCACAGTGGTTGAAAAACGCTGCTTTAAGGAGCTACAACTCATGTGATGTTCTTTCAGAAATACATTAAAACTTTATTTCTTTGAAAAATAAAATAAATTGCAAAAAGAAAAAAAGAGGCAATGAAAATACCATATGCTTTAGTGAATGTATGCTTGTGTCTTTGTAAATCTGTTTCTCTAGTAGGAATATATAGCTTCCCTTTAGCAGCATAATGCATACCATATGAGACATTTATCCATATTTCAAAATTTGAATGCTAGACTTGTAATATAGAGCGCTGTACCTCCTTCTTTGATAGATTATACCTTTCTGAAACTATGCAGCTGATGTGTGTCAATGGTACATTTCAGTTGTTTATGTTTTAGTTCAGCTCTTCTTTAAGGTGTTACATGATATATACTGTGGGGAAAAGGAAATGATGGCTTGCACAGTTAAGTAACTGTTTGGCTCTACAGCAGGTGAAAGAAGCCCTGGGTTCTGGAGCTGATATTGCAGTAAATGGCACCAACGTTACCTCGCAGTGGGACATTGGGAGTTGCTTCTTCTTTGCGGGAACCGTCATCACCACAATTGGTAATGGTCAATATTCACCATAGCACACAAGAACCATATTTAGGCTTAAAAGCAGCAAATCCAGTATAATATAACTTATTGTACTCACATTTATTTCATGTATACTTACTTCTATTAGAGTGTACAGTGTATTTCATTTTTGGATAAAGTAGGGAAGGGTTAATACTACTGTCAGTTTTTTTTTTTGCTGTCTGTGGCCTGTTGGGGAAATTTCCCTTAATTTCCTGTTCTGGAGGCAGAATAGGAAGTAAGGTGAAATCTCTGCAAAGTGAGGGTAATTTCCCTTTTAGACAGAGGTATCCCCATTGGGGGATTTACTCTCACCTCTTGTTTTTCAGACGACTCCAAAATTTCTCAAAATATCAGTTGAGAAGGTGAATCTGTCTATCCACAGCAATAAAAATGTGACGGGGTTCCACGTCTTCCCTGCTCTATTTATAACTAAAAAAAATAACTTTGACTTTACATAAACTGAAATAAAACCTATTTATTTGATATGGTCATGGTGTACATCAGGGTTATGCAACTCCCATGCTCAATGGTTAGGATTGTAACACAGTTTTAGGGTTTATCTGCTTTAATACTTAATTAAAGTGTAAGCTCACCTTTTCAGAAAAAAATGGAAAGGTGAAAATGAACTAATGCTGTATGCCCAACTTATCTCCCCAGTTCTCACTGTCCTTACCTCTGTCGGTGATGGGCTGTCAGTGCCCATGAAGCAGGTGCAGTGGTCCAGGGATTTGAAATCCCTGCTCTTTTCCCTCTTCTTTCTGCAGCACTTCTGGGACAGACCAGAGCAATTCTGATTAGTCATAGCTGGCACAGAGCATCGCTCTGATCTATCCCGAAGGTGCTGCAGAAAGTAGAAGGAGGCGAGCAAGGATTTCAAATCCCCGGTCCTCTACCCTGGGTGGTCACTGACAGCTCAGAGTCATCACCCATGGAGGTAAGTACAGCATGGACTGATGGGAAGGGGAGGGTGCACGGTGTTGGTTCACATTTTTATTTTTTCTGAAAAGGTGACCTAACCATTTAGGTAAAAATGGTTGTGGCACATATACGGTCCTTGAGGACTACAGCTCATAGTTGTAGCCTGTATAAAGCCGTTCAGGACTATAGTTCATAGATACAAGCAAGTCATGCCAGAAAATTCATACAAAACACATTAGAAATTACAGAAAATGTATAACACTATTCAAGTCATACAGTACTACAAGGTATGGAATAAACATAATACATACAACCACACCAACCATATTACAAGTCAGCATAGCTCATTTACAAAAGGAGTAAAGGCATGTTCACTTTACAAAGTGATTTTTTTTTTCACTTTGCAAGGGAATTTTCACTTAAAGCAGAATTTCACTCACGCTGTCAAAAAATAAAAGTCAGCAGCTACAAAAAGTGTAGCTGCTGACCTTTAAAAAACAGCCACTTACCTGTCCCTCGGTCCCGCGGTGTGTCCCCCGCAGCCCATTTCACCGGCTGTCCTGTATTCCTGGAGGCTGGCATCTTCAGTGTGGGCACCCACTGAGCATGTACGAGTAGCGCTGCGCATCATGAATGGTCCTGTAGTCTTCTGGGACCTGTCACGTGTCCCAAAAGACTACAGGGAGGGAGGGCACCTTCCACTTCTGGTCGCCTAGGCAATCGGACTGGAAGTGGGAGCGGGTACCTGTCAAATTCGGGTACCCGCTTCCCCCCCCCGCCCCCCAAAGGTGCCAATACTTAATGGGGAGCGGGGCAGCAGTCCTTAAAGCGGAACTTCCCCTTTTGGGTGGAGCTCCACTTTAACCTAGTGAACAAGGTAAAGTGCTGACATACACTATATTGCCAAAAGTATTGGAACTCCTGCCTTTACATGCACATGAACTTTAATAGCATCCAAGTCTTAGTCAATAGGGTTCAATATTGAGTTGGCCCACCCTTTGCAGCTATAAGAGCTTCCACTCTACTGCGAAGATTGTCCCCAAGGTTTAGGAGGGTGTCTATGGGAATGTTTGACCATTCTTCCAGAAGCGCATTTGTGAGGTCAGGCACCGATGTCGGACGAGAAGGCCTGGCTCACAGTCTCCACACTAATTCATCCCAAAGGTGTTCTATGGGGTTGAGGTCAGGACTCTGTGCAGGCCAATCAAATTTCTCCACCTCAAACTCACTCATCCATGTCTTTATGGACCTTGCTTTGTGCACTGGTGCACAGTCATGTTGGAACAGGAAGGGGTCATCCCCAAACTGTTCCTACAAAGTTGGGAGCATGAAATTGTCCAAAATGTCTTGGTATACTGACACCTTAAGCGTTCCCATCACTGGAACTAAGGGGCCAAGTCAACCCCACACCATAATCCCCCCTCCACCAAACTCTACACATGGCACAATGCAGTCAGGCAAGTACCTTTCTTCTGGCAACCGCTAAATCCAGAAACGATTGCTAGACAAAGAAGTGTGATTTGTCAATCCAGAGAACATGTTGCCACTGCTCTACAGTCCAGTAGTGACATGCTTTACACCATTGCATCTGACGCTTATTGCACAGGTGGCAACCTATCACGGTACCACGCTTGAATTCACTGAGCTGCTGAGAGCGACCCATTCTTTCACAAATGTTTGTAGAAGCAGTCTGCATGCCTAACTACTTTATTTTATACACCTGTGGCCATGGAGGTGATTGGAACACCTGAATCCAATGATTTGGAGGGGTGTCCCAATACTTTTGGTAATATAGTGTATCATCGAATCACATGCAAGTAGAAATCCTATTTCTGTTTATTTTCCTTGCACATGATTGGGTATTCTTTACAAAGCTTTTTACTTGCACATAATTTACTTTGCAAAGTAACAGCACAGTTACTAACTAGTAGGTACTTACATTCAATGAGACGTGTCCCTTGTGCTGGTGGCTGCTGTCTTAGTTGAAATCTTCCATTCTTTGCCCCTTCCCCATACTTCTGCAATTCTCTGGTGCTTCCGGGGTTAATACAGCTGCTGGACCTCTCATAGGCACTCCTGAAAAGTTTAATCCATGCTCACCCTTTCTGTCCCTGCCACTTAATTCATAGAAGCTGTACTATAGCTTCTATCAATGAAAAACTCTCCATGAATGGAGGAGGCAGACCATTGAGTCTTTCATTCATTTTAGCTATATTACTGCTCCTATGAATGGAGGAGGGTGTGGAAAAATGGTACATTCCTTGTGCTGATGTGAAAAAAAATGGGGAGAGCTACAGACCCAAGTCTGGTCACTGACCTGCACTGACCTAATGTCATTACAGAGGACAAGGGGGCACTCTTTACGTCTGGAGGAAAAGAAATTTAATCTCCAAACATGAAAAGGTTTCTTCACAGTGAGAGCTGTGAAAATGTGGAATAGACTCCCTCAAAAGTTGGTTCTGGCCAGCTCAGTGGATTGCTTTAAAAAAGGCCTGGGTTCTTTCTTGGATACACAGAATATAACTGGATACTAACATTTATAGGTAAAGTTGATCCAGGGAATATCCAATTGCCTCTCGGGGGATCAGGAAGGAATTATTTCCCCTGCAGGAGCAAATTGGATCATGCTTTGCTGGGGTTTTTTGCCTTCCTCTAGATCAACTGTGGGTATAGTATAATAACTTTTTTTTTTTGATGGTGGAACTGAAGGACTTTTGTCTTTTTTCAGACAGACTAACTGTAACTATGCAGTAGAAGTAAAAGAATGTGCTCAAACCCAAATAGCTTACATATAACACTTAAGGAGCTAGAGAATAATAATATGTGTAGCACAAGATCAGTATTATTAGTAGTACAGTATGATACAGAGGTTAATAACTGTAAGTACTCGGTTGATCTGACAGCTCCATGTACATGCTCTCAGTACTGTATGTGAGTGAGGTCAGTGTAGAACACATTTCTCTATCGATCTTGTGATGCTTGCCCCTGTCATGTCTTCAGAAGAAATCGAGTACTCTCATGGGGCTCTAAGCCCTGACTGATAGTCTTCATTTTTTATTCCCGTGTTGAGAAATTTTAAATATTTTGGAGAAACACTTACAAGCTAAAAGAGCATATGTATGAGTCACAAAACAAATAATACTTTAAAAGCATTTGAAGATTTCTATTTTTTTAAATAAATTATAGTGTGTCCTCAGGTAGCAAATAGTAAACTCATTATTATTCTATTGCAACCAACCTGAACTGACTGTGTTGTTGCATCAAAAGAGTTTGTGTGTCCTTGCATGCTTTCCATATTTAATCACTCCAGACTAAGCTGAGATAATGCAGACTTTCAACATTGCAAGTCTTTTGGGTTACATTCGATTATAAAAAATTATTAGTGTAAATCCCCAAGGTCCTGTTCACATATCTGTTAGCTAGAACGCGGGTTCACATGTTGAAAAGTGTGTCACACATGGGGCAGCTCATTCACAGTGAGGTTGATAAAAGCTGTAGAGAATGTTCACTTAGCTTAGCAAATAAGACGAAGCAATGTTCATATATGCGGTGCAGTATATCACATGTGATTCGCACAGCAACCGCACAAAAAAATCACATGCGATTTGTGTGCAGTGCGATTGGAGCCAAACATTTTGTACGGCTCTAATCGCACTGCACTCACACCAAAAAGGTGCAGGACCCTTTTTTTGGTCCACACTAGAATCGGATCGCATGGGTATTCACAACTATGCGATCCGCTTCTGCATATCGCAGCGGGTTTTGCGGGCCGCTTTTGGGGTTTTGTTAACTTAATATACAGCAGTTCGCATGAACAGGGTGCGGTTCTGATGCGGTGCGGAATTTGCACAGAAAATGCTGCAAATTCCACACGGCATCAGTGTGAACCAGGGCTGAATATCATAGACTGGCTCTAGATGTATCAAACTTTGGTCAATTCAGCAGGGAAGGGCCAAATTTTCATCCATCTATGGCCGTCCCGACTAGAGAGAAGTCAATCCAATGTTCGGGAATGTTGGAAAATATTTCATTCGATCAGCATATGCAGCATATCTCCTGCAGTGCTGATCATTGTATGCTGACAGTGGAGGAGTCCTGCTGTCAAAACACAATCGCACAGCAGAGAAGATGTCTTCATCCATCTGAAATGGGTGCATTGGGGAATCCATTTGTTTTTTATTTAATCAGCATGCTGGCTGATCAAAAAATTTAATACTTACATCTATGACCAGCTTTAGAGTAGGCAAGTGGAATTTAAAAAAAGATACGATTTTTGCTTGCACATAATTAGATGAAGCAAACACAGCTTTACCTTACTCGTTAAGCTAAGTGGACAATCAATTGCCAATTTCAAATAATGTACCCCTTTAGGCCCCATGTACACGGGACACTTCTGAACAATGGAAACTGACTGCTGGAAAAAGTAGGTTAAAAACCGTTTGTTTAGCCGTGTTTGCATAACTCGTTTATGCGCGTTTATGTGCGTTTGCGTTTAGAAGCGTTTTTTTAAAAGATAAGCACAGGAGAACCTCTCAAATGCCCAGAATGCACTGAAAAGTGGTAAATTATTAACTATTTCAGACTGTTTCAGAGAAATACAGAGAGTAGAAGCAGAGACAGCAGTATATGTTGAGATTAGCTTAGGTATGAGTTCCTCATTAACATTTCTTTTGTTTCCAAGGGTGGAAAGGTGTCTGGTGGAGTGAGTCATTAAGGCCACCTGGCAGGGGGTCATCATGAGGAATTTGAGGTGTGAATGGTCAATAACATATCTTTTGTTTCCAAGGGTGGGAGAGGTCTGAGGTGTGACTTGGTCATTACAATGTGTGACAAGCTTGGTAGGAACATCCTGTGTTCAGTGTTTTGTCCATTTGAGTACCTTGAAAACGCTTTGCATGCATGATGCAAAAAAGGTTCTGGACAGCATCGGGAACTGGAACAGTTATAAAAAAATTAAACCGCAAACGCATATAAATGCGATTAGCCACATTTGCAAGAGTTTTGTGTTTGAAAAGCTGATAAAATGGACTGCTGAACGCAAGTTTTCTGCGTTCAAAAAAACTACTGTAAACTAAAATGCCTGTAAACGACTGTAAACGAAGATGTGTACATGGACACCTAGGAAAACATTAGGGTGAGTTCAGGGGCTGCTGAAAAAAAACGCTGAACAGCTCCTAAACGTGAGTTTATCAGCTGAAGTGTACATGAGCCCTTAGTAAATTAACTCCAATAACTACAAGATTTTTTGTACACATTTAACAATTCTATTAGAAGATGCACAGTTCATTTTGCATACAGCGCTTTTCACTCTGTTAGCGTCATTTAAAAAAATTGCCTGTTTATTTAGTGTTGGACATGAGCAGGGAGATCATAAAGACAGGTTTCTTGCATTTACCTTTAAGAAGTTGTCAACACTAAGCAGAGTTTTATGATTTAGAGCTCATGACAATAGCACGGTATGGGCACCCATGCACTAGAGCTTCTGAATGTTCCATCAGACACAGTCTGATTCACAGAAGATTGCTTTTTCACCTATCATGCACATTCATTGGACATGCCAGTAATTTTATTAGCACGGTTTGACAGCTCATCTCTGCTTAATCAGCAAAGATGACATTTTCCAACTATATAATCAGAGACATAAAATTGGCTTTCTCTCTGTACATGCTCAGACTGACGTTTAGATTCTGCTGCAAAATTACGTTTGATTATGGTTAACTTTAGGCTTGGCTGCATGTATGATTGTTTTTAGTGAGCTTGCTGTTCCCACTGAGTTTTGTATAATGTAAGATCCTGAATGTTTCGCATTATAAAATTAATCACTTCTGAAAAATACCTCATTTGCAACACTTCAGTGGGATAAAAGTAGGTCAGTGTTCAGCAATCTCATGCTACAATAAACACAAAAATGTAGTTGAGCATTGTAGTATCTATACAGCTTCATATTACTAATAAAAACATCTATAATCCGGAGCATATTCCTTAAAGTGGTTCTAAAAGCAAATCATTTTTTACCTTAATGTATTCCCTGCATTCAGGTAAAAATGCCTTATTAAGTGCATCACCCCCTCACCTTGCTATAAACACTGCTCAAAAAAAATGAAAGGAATACTTTTTAATCCTAGTATAGCATCAAGTCAATTAAACTCCTGGGATATTGATTTGGTCAGTGAAGTAGCAGAGGGGGTTGTTAATCAGTTTCAGCTGCTTTTGATGTTAATGAAATTAACAACAGGTGTTCTCAGGGCTGCTGTTAAAAACCACAGGGCTCCATACAGCCCCCCCCCCCTTCAAAAAAAAAACACAGTTTACTATGCTTCAGTTATGAATGTACACAGTTAGTGATCGGTACCGATCACTCATTGTTTTCATTCAGGAAAGGAAGCGGCTGGTAAATGTGATGTATTTACTGGACCTTTTCCCCACTCTCCATCCTCAAGGATTTTATTGTGTGCTTGCAGCTGCTCAAAAGAGAGGAGAGAAGCTGGCAGCACTGTGGGGGGAAGGATACCTGGGCAGCAGAGGGGCAATTACTGGAACCGATCCCCTGCATGGCTCTCTCTGCAGCAGCTGAAAGCCAGCAGGAGGGAGAGGAGAAAAAGCCGGCCTTCAGCTGCTACAGAGAGAGTCATACAGGGAATCGGTTCCAGTAATTGCCCCCCCCCCACTATGATGATCACCCTCCCTGCCCACATCCAATTCACCCTGCTGCCTGGGCCCCCCTGCTGGCCTGGGCCCTGTACACAAGGACTGGCGGTACCCCCTTATCCACTGCCTTGGTGTACTAGATGGGCAACAATGAGACAACCCCCAAAACAGGAATGGTTTTACAGGTGGTGGCTATGGACATTTTTTTTCCTACTCATCTTTTCTGGCTGTTTTTCACTAGTTTTGCATTTGGCTACGGTCATTGTCACTGCTGGAAGCATGATGCGATACATGGACCCTACAGAGGTTGCACAGGCAGTCCAACTCCTCCAGGATGGCACATCAATTTGTGCCATTGCCAGAAGGTTTGCTGTGTCTCAAGAGCTTCCAGGAGATTCCAGGATACAGGCAGTTACTCTAGGAGAGCTGGACAGGGCTGTAGAAGGTCCTTAACCCATCGGCAGGACCAGTATCTGCTCCTTTGTGCAAGGAGGAACAGGATCAGCACTGCCAGAGCCCCGACAAAATGAACTCCAGCAGGCCACTGGCGTGAATGTCTCTGACCAAAACAAATAGGAAACAGACTTCATGAGGGTGGCCTGAGGGCCCAACGTCCTCTGATGGGCCTTGTGCTCATTGTCCGGCACCATATAGCTTGATTGGCATTTGCCATTGAGCACCAGAAATTACAGGTCCGCCACTGGTGCCCTGTGCTTTTCACAGATGAGAGCAGGTTCACCTTGAGCACATGTGACAGACATGAAAGGGTCTGGAGAAGCCGTGGAGAACATTATGCTGCCTGTAAAATCACTCAGCATGACTGTTTTGGTGGTGGGTCAGTGATGGTCTGGGGAGGCATATCCATGGAGGGATGCACAGACCTCTACAGGCTAGACAATGGCACTCTGACTGTCATTAGGTATCAGGATGAAATCCTTGGACCCATTATCAGAACCTACGCTGGTGAAGTGGGTCCTGGGTTCCTCCTGGTGCATGACAATGTCCGGCCTCATGTGGCGAGAGTATGCAGGCAGTTCCTGGAGGATGAAGGAATTAATACCATTGAATGGCCCCCACACTCACCTGACCTAAATCCAATGGAACACCTCTGCGATATCATGTTTCAGTCCATCTGACGCCGCCAGGTTGCACCTCAGACTGTCCAGGAGCTCAGTGATGCCCTGGTCAAGATCTGGGAGGAAATACCCCAGGGCAACATCTGTTGTATCATTAGGAGCATGCCCCGACATTGTCAGGCATGGATACAAGCACGTGGGGGCCATACAGAATACTGAGTACCATTTTGAGTTGCTGCAATGAAATTTCAGCAAAATGGACTAGCCTGCTGCATCATTTTTTCACTTTAATTTTCGGGGTGTCTTTGAATTCAGTCCTCTGTAGGTTGATAATTTTCATTTCCATCAAGCGATGGGGCATCCTTACATTCCTAACACATTACCCAGTCCATATCAATATACATATCCAGCATGATATTTTTCCACATTGAGATCTGATGTGTTTTCAAAGTGTTCCTTTAATTTTTTGACCAGTGTACTTACCAGCGATGCCTCTCTCCCTCGTCACACAGGCACAGAGGCAGCAGCAGGAGCTGGGCCAAACACTTATTGGGATTTTTTTTTTCACCAAAGACATATAGCAGAGTACATCTTGACCTAAATTTATGAAGAAATTTGATTTTTAAATATATTTATTGGATATGTTTTATAACAGAAACATTTTCAGTCTTTATTCATTTATATAATAAAAACTAAAAAAAAAACAAGTGATGATCAAATACCACCAGAAAAAAGCTCTATTTGTGTGAAACATTTAATTTGGGTACAGCATTGCATGACTCTGCAATTATTGCCAGTTAATATAGCACAGTGCTGAACAGCAAAAACAAATGGCTTGGTCATGAAGAGGGTAAAATCTTCCAGAGCTTATGTGGTTAAAGCAAAAAATGTTTTCTTTTTTTTTTTAATATCTCCCACATCTTTTACTGTAATGAAATGTTGGTTAAGCAGTAGATTACTTGTTTTTCAGGAAGAATGTTTTGGATTCAGTGAGAAATGAATAATATAATAATGCAATTATAATAAAAATAATAAAAAATCCTTTTTTTACCAAGTCAATATTTTTTTTCTATGCTATTTTACAGGTTTTGGTAATAATGCCCCAAAGACAGAAGGCGGACGGATTTTTTGTATTTTTTATGCACTAATTGGCATTCCACTGTTTGGCATCCTGCTGGCAGGTGTTGGTGACCATTTAGGATCTTCTCTTCGGAAAGGAATCGGAAAAGTGGAGATGATATTCTTGGTAAGAGATATATAGTTTTAGTTCAACATGTACATCAATATTCAGCAATTCCAGCAAAGAGTGATACCAACAATGACTGAGTAATACAAAAATGTGGTCACTGAGAGTACAGTATATTTATTTATTTCAGGTACTTTAATAGAGTCATCAATTTATGCAGCACTTTACATATATATTATGTATTCAAATCAGTCCCTGTCAGAGGGATTACCTATTTAGGTATTACTCTTGCCTCCAGGGCTGATGACCTTGTTAAGGAAAACTACACCCCATTGCTAAACTCTTTTCGAAGAAAATTAGATAAATTGGCCAATATGAATTATCATGGGCAGAACGCTTAGCAGCCTTTAAAATGCAAATACTCCCACAACTGACAAATCTATATAGAACATTACCTATCCCTATACATAAATCCTACTTCTTATCTCTGCAATATATATTAAATAAATATCTTTGGCAGGGTAAGAAAGCATGCTGTGCTTTTAGCAAACTCATTAAGTCAAGGCGAGCAGAGGGTGTTGATCACACTCATTTACGTGACTATTACTAGACTTCAACTCTTGCCCAACTTAAAAAGTGGTTCGCTCCTCGATCTGATACTTTATGGGCAGAACTTGAACAATCTCAAATGCCAGGAAGAAACTTGGAAATTTACTTAATATCAACCACACATTTCACCGTAGAGATACAAAATTTGCACCTACTATAGTAGCATCAGTTGAAGCTTGGATTCATTTGTGTAAAACCTCATATACAAAACTGAAACTAACTCCCCTAAAATTCCCATTAGCCATCCTAGCACTTCTTATACCTGACCTTAATCATGCAATTTGGCACTCTAGGGATATCCTAGTCCTAGAGGACTTATATGTTGGACCTGCTCTGAAAACTTTTTGAACACTACAAGTAGAATTGCACTCCCTTCCACTGAATACTATAGATATGTACAAATTGCTCACCTCTTACAAAATACTCATAATCTGAATATCTCTGTGCATTGGCAAGTAGCCCAATACTTCCAGTCAACTCATACAAATATTAAGGGTATTTCTCTATTTTGCTCACTGCTACAAGATAAAAATGAGTTTGTTAAATCCTCTCCAATTGAAAAGATAAAGATTTTTGGTATGGAATATTCCAATGAGCAGTGGCAGAGAGCCTTGCACACCACATATAAGTCTACCAAGAGCATGAATCTATGGGAGATGAATCAATAAATTTTACTATGCTGGTATCTAACACCACATTTTATATCTAACATTTCCTCTGAAATGTCTCCTAACTGCTGGAGGAATTGTGGAGCCCCATACTATATGGTCTTGCCCAAAACGTTCCAGATTCTGGCCTCCAGTTTTCAATCTTATCACTCAGATCTTAGGATTAAATATATCATTAAGTCCAGGTATGGCATTATTATCCCTAGACCTGGATTCTACCCCTCCTATATTTAGAACCTTGATATCACAAATACTGCTAGCAGCCCACCACCTATTAGACATTGGAAAGATTCAAAAGTTCCAGATCTTGAAGTCATCCAAACGATTCACACTCATAGTACATATGAAATACTCTTTGATTCCAGCATAGGAAAGTATTCTGCTATTATTGACTTATGGCAACCCTGGCTGACATGGTATTCATGGCTCTTCAACTCTTGATTAACATTTCCCCCCACAACTGGAAAGAAAACTAAGCCAAATTCTATATCAGGACTATGCTATACATTACTTTATGTTTGTTTATGTGTTATTTAAACATTAGTTGATATCAAGATGGTCAAACAGTTAATATGTATGGTGTACACTCAACCAATACTTAAGATGCATACCTGGAAAGATGTGCTTTATTATTACAGTATTTACATATTTGTTGAATATATACTGTTACAGTTTTTGTATGTTTTCCTAAGGAAATATTGAAATTAAATCAGTCACTGTCCTCCAGGAGTTTACGTCTAAGGTCCCTAACTCACATTCATACATAATGTATACATACTAGGGCCAATTTACCTACCAGCATGACTTTGGAGTATGAGAGGAAACCGGAGTAGCCAGAGGAAACCCACACAGGCACAGGGAGAACATGCAAACTCCATGCAGGTAGTGCCATTGCTGGTATTTGAACTGAAGTCCCTAGTGCTACTAGGTAGAAGTGCTATCCACCTAGCCACTGTGCTGTACATGTGTTACAGATTTGTTAAAACTGGTGCACAAAGAATCTGGTGCAGCTGTGCATAGTAACCTATCTGCTTCCAGGTTTTATTGTCAAAGCTATATTGAACAAGCTGAAGTTAGAAGCTGATTGGTTACTATACACAGCTACACCAGATAATAAATCTACCCATTTGCATTGAAATGGTTTGTAAATCCTAATTACTTTTTTTTTGCTCCCTTTTGGTCGATTACGTATATCATTATGAGCATTTGTTATATCAGTTTGACAAGTGCAAAAATATACCTTTTGATCCTATCATAAATCTTGTAAGCTGATAACTTTCCGTTCCCTCTCTCTGTTGATTTATATCAGTTAGTATTATTTCAAACTATTTCTGTGGATTGAAGAACGTGTGTGTGTGTGTGTGTGGGGGGGGGGGGGGGGGGATTGTGTAATTCTGTCCTAGGCTGACAATGCTGTTCTACTATAAATACTAGATACTCTAGGACAGTTAGTGTGTCATTGGCAGGATTACAAGTCAAAATAAAGATAGAAAGCCTAAAAAAGGAAAGTAATGCAGCCACCACGCCTAAGAACAGTTTGGGATCCAGTGTAGCAGTGTATTTTACAGTCTTGTCATTTTCTATCTTGTCTGTTTTCTGATGTGCCTGTATTATACTTGTACCCAGGGGTGGACTGACAAATCATGGGGCCCTTGGGCAATAGGGGATTATGGGGCTCCTGTGTCCACGCTCACACTCAAACCACACCCAAAAAAGCCTATGAAAGGTATCAAGGGCATCCCATGGGGCCCCCTACTGACACCGAGCCCTCGGGTAGTGCCCGAGTTCCCAAATGGTCAGTCCGCCCCTGCTTGTACCAGTGACTATTTTCTTTAAGCATTTACATCTATCTGTAAGTGTGTGCTGTTGTTTAGTTTTGTTCACTTGTCTTTCCTTACACCGTCCCTGGAGGTATTTGCATAGAGATACATTAACTGAATCTTGTTTCAGAAAGAGCTTGGCCATTGATTTGCCGCGCTGAAATTGAATTTTTTGTGCTTTTGAAATTAGATTTTGAGTTGTGCTTGGGACTATGTGCAGACAGAAAATCACATGAGACAGTCTGTTAGTATATTAATTTCTAGAAGGGCAGAGGTATGTAGTATATAGAAGACTACGTAACAGGACAGACATAACTCATTATTTAAGTCTATATAAAGGCTAAAGACAGAGCCCAGTGACCTGCAGTTTGACTTCACTTTTCAGCTGCTTAGAGTATTTATTAGCCTTTGCTGGTATGTCATGTCAGGTGTCCTGACACTTTACAGACTACATATGTCTTCAAGGCCAGTGACTCAGTAACTCTGTAAAATTCTAAAGAATATATTTTAAGAATATATTTTTGTAAACATATATTTTTTTAAAATATATTCTTCAGATTTTTTTTTAACATAAAAAAGTAATTTTAACATATATTTTTACATATATTTGTAAATGCATTCCAAAAAGGTAGATTTGTATTTTTAAAGACAGACAGTATATTTAAAATGTATTTTTAAAAATATTTTGCATATATTTTGTAATACAAATTCATTTCAACATACGGTATATATATATATATATATATATATATATATATATTATTGAAATATATTGAATATGGCCAAAATTGTAGCATTTCAAATATATGTCAATATATTTGGGAAGAATATTTTAAAAATATATTTCAAATATATTTTCTTCCATATGGGTGACAACAATGATGGGCCACGATTCTTTCCACTGACACCAATGATGTAATTTTTTTACTCCCATTGACCACCAAGCCTATGGCATTGTTTAATCCCACCAGTTCCAGGACATTTTCTACTCCCACTGGCCACAGTCTGGACCCCGTAAAGTTTGAAGGGCAGTAAACTGGCTCTTTGTTTTGAAAATTTGGAGACCCCTGTTATAGGCACTTGTTGCTAGCACTGATAAACAAGCCAGAACATTGTGACAGGAAGGACATCTAAGCAGTCTTAAAGTAGGCCTACAATCAAATTTTTTTTTAGTTTTGGGTACAATAGGGAAGAGTTAGAACCTATGTCAGGTAATTTAATTTTGTATGTTTTTCCTTAATCATGTCAAGAAGCAAGCGGAATCTCTCCAACAGAGGCACAAACAGCAGTAAAAGCCATTTTATTAGTAGAAGTAAGGTAGGGTTGAAGTTGTATCTGGATTTTATTTCTTCTAGTGTTCCTGTATGGGATATTTTTTATGACTGCCTGTGGGGTCAGTGGGACAGGACATGGGAGAGATTACACAAAGAGCAATGTAACCCATCCACACTCAATCAAAAACTAAAAAGAAACAAAAAAACAAGTTTTTGGTGAATTTCCATTTTATTTCCAAGAGTACACACAGGCAGCGGTTTTTCTGATAACCTTCATCGCTGCTGGTGACTCTGAATACAGAATAAAAATAAAACTGCCTGTTTCTTATTTTAAAAATAATCATAAGTTCAAAATGAATTCACGTTTTGGGATAACTTCCCTTGAAGTTACCCAAAAACTGTAATATCCAGTATTTAACCACTTCTGCTCTTGCAGCTATAACCTCCTATGGACAAGAACAATTGTGACATTTCTTCTATGCACCTATTGATTTGGTGAAAACATTTTTATTACTAAAATAATACAGTGATACAAAGCTTTCTTTTGGAAATAATGAACCGCAAAAATGACCTTATTTTCAATAATAGTTAAGATAGGCAACAAGATGAAAAATGTCGAGTTTGACCAGTGTTAGTTTTTGAACTAGTGTTGTTTCTGTGAAAGTATGCATTGATTCCATAATACGTCCCATTTAAAATAACAATAAAATTAAGTTACTGGTGAAAAGCATTACAATGCTGCATTAAAAAAAAAAAGTTTTTTTTTTTCAATTTTGTATATTTTTCTTGCAAAATGAAAAAAAAGTTAATGATTACAGCGGAGAAAAAAAAAATGGGGACTTTCTAGGACAGCACCCAAGGACATAAATTCAACACATGAATATATAAAAAAAGTCAGATTTATAAATCACATCATATAAAAGTTTAAGAGAATCACAGGTGATGCACAATACAATATTCACTATGTGGATCTTTTATATGATGTGTTTAATAAATCTGAAAATATAATAATTTTTTTTATATTCATGCTTTGAATTTATGTACTTTGTTGACGTTCTTGAAAGTCCCTTGTTCTTTGTCTTCTGTAATCATTTGCTTGTTTGGGATGATGTCATTCCAAGGTTTTAACCCAGTGTTATCCTGCTTCTCTCTCTTCTTTTTTGAAGCAGTTTAAAAAAAAAGTTAATAAATGAAAAATAAAAAAGCACAGCAGTTAATTAGGGCTCATTATGGTTAACTAAGGGTTTATAAGAGTTAAATAGGAACATGTTTCATTTTAATGTTTTTTTTTTTTATTCGCAAGGTATTTTTAACTGGCATCATATGCACGCCGTAGGTCACATCTTTATTTTCCACATGACTGAAACAAGAGTAAATCCAATGTAACAATATTGTTGTTACATCAAATTTTTCAAGGAAGCTTTTGAACATTGTACAGAATATTCATTTTAAACAGCAGCCACTACAGCTGTCCCACTGATTTTAAGTCCCAGGAGTAATCTTGACTGTTGTTAGTAGCACCAAGCACAACTGTTCATCTCGCCTGGTGATTCTTTTAAATATATGTATATTTTTTAAATATATGTAATAAATAGTATTTTTTTTAAATATACAGTATGTATATTTTTATATGTATTGACTAAGAACATCAGATTTAGACAGTATTTTGGGGGAAAGACAAACTTCTTCAGGACTAAAGCTGAAGAGTGCAAAATTTGGTGCAGCTCTGCACAGAAGCCAATCAACTTCCATTTTCTTTGTCAAAGCTTAATTGAACAAACTGAAGTTAGCAGTTGATTGGCTACTATGCTCAGCTGCACCAAATTTTGCACTCTCCAGTTTTATTAAATCAACCCCATAATGCAGTAGTTCATATCAATTAAATGGCAGTAAATAAAATTTGATACAATTATATAAACAATCTAGTATAAGAATAGATCATCCGATTGATGATTCATCTACTGTGATCAGAGAGGCAGCAGCCTAAGACCATAGCCCCACACACCATACTTCCACCACAAGTTAACCCTTTCTTAGGGCCACTTCACACTGATGTAAAGAGGGAATCTACATGTGATTGGGACAGGAATCGCACCGCATTCCTGTTTAAATCACCTGATTCTTTTGCAGTGCAATTTGCGCCATTCATTTTGTATGGTTCAAATCACACAATGCGCTTTGCAAACTTTTTTTTGGGGTGTCGTTAACTTAACATTGACGCCTGCAGTGGTTTATGTGAATGGAGTGCAATTGTAATGTGTGGGAAGCGCACATTAATTGCTGTGAATCCTGCACCACATCATTATCAACCGGGTTTTAAGGAGAACTACAGTACCTCATTTTTTTATGCAATAAAATTAATTCTGATTCTCTTTGGTCCAGCTCTACCACACATATAGAAGATAATCAAGCAAATCTTGATGCCTATGCAGCTCTTGGCTGTTTTTCTGACACAAATCAACCCCTGCTGCAGCTTTTTGTTTGCGACCTGCTACAAAGATATAGTTTGATCACTGGGAAAGAGCGAACCTTTCCTACTGCCTGCAGCTGACTAATGACATCATTTCAGCCTCAGGGAACAGACAAGACAGGTGGGCACTGGACCCCAACTTCAGTAATATGTCTAGTGGGTCTAGCGGTGCTTAAATGTGTAGGCAGCTATCTGGTGAGCTGTTAAAATAGCATGAGCAAACGAATGCTATAACTCCTGCGCTGGACAACGAGCACCACAATGTCAGTAACCCCACATGGAGTACTTTTTGGGAATGCAAGCCTTGCTGTCCTCAATAGACCAGAGAAATCCAAAGGAGCTGTGTGCAAAGAAACAAACAGAGGGCGCACGGGCCTAGTGCATTACCTTCTACAAATGATATTTATTGAATATAAAGTAGTATACTCACAAAGGAATAAAATCAAAGACACATCACAAAAAAGACAGCATGGTCCAATCTCCCTAGATGGTGGCTGTTGGGGGACTGTAGGCCTCCAAATTTGTGACACGTTTTGAGGCAGAACCTCTTCCTCAGAAGCTCTATTTGTTTCTTTGCACACATCTGGTGAGCTGTGACTATGCACTAAGTCCTTGGAACAAAAGCTTCAAGTGGAAAAGTAGAGTGCGCCACAAAGTTTCACATGTATAGAAACAATTTATTTCGTTGTGAGTTTCTTTTAGAAAACCTAAGAACCTCATACAGTTGTGACCAAAATTATTCAACCCCCACTGAAATTGAGTGTTTTGGCCAGTTTGACATTGCTTTTGATCATTCAGTCATCTTGCTTACATTTACATTAAAGAGGCACTTGTAGGTCAGACAAATATAACATAACAGTTATAATGAAATAACCACAAATGTCTTTTCTGTGCTCACAGCATTATCAGTTTTATTCAACCCCCAAGTGACATTCAATCTTAGTACTTAGTACAGCATCCTTTTACAGTTTATAACAGCTTTTAAACGTGAAGCATAGCTTGACACAAGTGTCTTGCAGCGATCTACGGGTATCTTCGCCCATTCTTCATGGGCAAAGGCCTCCAGTTCAGTCACATTCTTAGGCTTGCGCACTGCAACTGCTTTCTTTAAGTCCCACCAGAGGTTCTCAATCGGATTTAAGTCTGGTGACTGCGATGGCCACTCCAAAATGTTCCAGCCTTTCCTCTGCAACCATGCTCTAGTGGACTTGGAGGTATGCTTGGGATCATTGTCCTGTTGAAAGGTCCAACGTCTCCCAAGCCTCAGGTGTGTGACGGACTGCATCACGTTTTCCATCCAATATCTCCTGGTACTGAAGAGAATTCATGGTACCTTGCACACGCTGAAGCTTCCCTGTACCTGCAGAAGCAAAACAGCCCCAAAGCATGATTGACCCTCCACCATGCTTCACAGTAGGCAAGGTGTTCTTTTCATCATAGGCCTTGTTCTTCCTCCTCCAAACATAGCGTTGATCCATGGGGCCCAAACAGTTCTAATTTTGTTTCATCAGTCCACAGAACACTATCCCCACAACTTTTGTGGTTTGTCCACATGGCTTTTGGCATACTGCAGTCGACTCTTCTTATTCTTTGGAGACAGCAAGGGGGTACGCCTGGGAGTTCTGGCACGGAGGCCTTCATTACGCAGTGTGCGTCTTTATTGTCTGGGCTGAAACTTCTGTACCCACATCTGACAAATCTTTTCTCAGTTCCTCACAGTCACACGGGGACTTCTCTCCACTCTACGCTTCAGGTAGCGCACAGCAGTCGAAGTCAGCATCTTCTTTCTGCCACGACCAGGTAGCGTTTCAACAGTGCCCTTTGCCTTGAATTTGCGAATGATGCTTCCTAAGGTGTCTCTTGTATGTTTAACATCTTTGCAATCTTCTTATAGCCATTGCCCTTCCTGTGAAGAGAAATCACCTCTTCTCTTGTCTTCCTGGACCATTCTCTTGCCTTCACCATGTTTGTAACCACACAGTAAATGTCTAGAAGGAGAGCTGAGTATCACAGTCATTTTAAAGCTGCCTAATTGGTGCTTATTATGCTTGATTGCTGCTCGGTGACATCCACAGGTGTTTTCAATACCTGATGGAAAGCACCTGTATGAACCTCTGTTCTTCAGAGTGGTAGTCTTTAAGGGGTTGAATAATTGTGGCAATGAAGAAACCACATAAGAACCATTTACTACTGTATTACATAAACAATTGATGTCATTTTAGTTGCATTTGGGTAGTTACAACGTCCTTGTAGATTTGATTCTGAATACAATTCCAAATGTACACTATAGTCCCTAAACCCCTTTACAGCATTGGGGGTTGAATAATTTTGGTCACAACTGTAGTTGAACTGGTTGAATTGTGGTGCTTTCTTCATTTTCACTTGAAGAATCATTTCAGCCAAGACGGAGTCACTTGACTGGAGTTCAAAGACTGATTTTTAATTATAAATATCAAGTGAGTACTTATTCATTTATCAAAGCTTGTAGCATTGCCTGATACATTTAAACATATTTAGTTTCCATCTTTCTACCTTTTCACAGAAATGGCGTGTCTCTGCTACCATTGTACGGGTCATCTCAGCAGTGCTCTTCCTCCTCATTGGTTGTGTCCTCTTCGTTCTTATACCAACTTTAATCTTCCAGGAAATTGAGCAATGGACCTTGTTGGAGTCCATCTATTTTGTAGTCATCACACTTACTACTATTGGATTTGGAGACTATGTAGCAGGTAATCAATATCAGGATATTTTCGTGCTTTCAAAAGTAATGGTGTACAAACATATGGAAACATTTAAAGATGTGCTGAGCCTGCAAGTAAAGTCCACCTAATGTAGCTTCCTTCAGTGGTGTGGTAACGATGCTGTACTGCTTCTGAATTTAGAGCTGCCAATCCCATGTAGACTATGGGTTTGATGTACTGGAACTGGAGAGTGTAAAAAGTGGTGTAGCTCTGCATAGAAACCAATCAGCTTCCGGGTTTTTTTTCAAAGTGGTTCTAAATGTTGAAAGTTTTTTTACCTTTATGCATTCTATGCATGAAGGTAAAACACCTTCAGTATCCAGCTCCTCCTGCAGCCCCCCCTAATACCCAAGCCTGATCGTGATCCAGCAATGTGCATGAGAGCGGCTGCTCTCTCGGGACTCTGCCTCCTCATTGCTGAGAGAAAGCAGCGGGAGCTATTGGCTATCATGCACAGCTGCACTCTCCAGTTTTAATAAATCAAACCCTATCTGTGCTTATACTACAGTGGGTTGATTAACGGTTGCTAGATTAAACAGACATTTAGGTGGGTCAAAGAGAAAAGTGGGCTGTAACCAAAAAAATGCTCGTTTAATTAAGCAACCTTTACATTGTCCTAATGTGTCTATGAAAATCTTAGGAGGTCAGACAATACTTTACTTGATATTATCTCATCTATGTGGAGCACTGAGGTATATGTGTGGAACTGAGTGCTGCTATCACCACTCTCTATTTGTATATTGTATTATTTGTGTTGGAAGAGATTTTATTTCATGATGGTAATTTGTTTACTAATGTTTACTGTACAAATTGAACATACACTTTGCTGAGTGAACATCCTATAATTCTTCCATAGATCAACTGCTGTTTTGGGGTCTATTTTATTTATATTTATTTTTAAATGTATACATTTACAAACATGTTGTAGATATATTTGCTTTACAATTTTCATTTTTTAAAAATAAACATTTGAACATGGTGCACCCATGACACATGGTGTATACATTGCATCTAACATTTTCTAACAAGAGAAAATAGCAGCAGCTGTTAACATTCAGACACTTTCTTGAATTACATTTTGTGCAGAGCTCTTTTATCCAGAAAGCAGGGAAAGGTGTGTGTGTGTGTGTGGGGGGGGGGGGGGGGGGGGATTTCATGGGTTTCTGCTCTGGCTCATCAGTTGGGCGGCTAAATTTTAGCTTTAGCTATTGTACGCTTTAAACACCAAGCTTTTTTCTGCTAAGCAGGCAATGGTTGCCTGGGAAAGATGTATAGATAAGAGACCAGAGCTCCTGCTGTTGGCACAAAATAAAAATACACTTAAATGTTTTATATTTTAGCCCTCACAATAATACATAGCAAAAGAAATATACTATATACAAAAATTACTCATTACCTTTAAAAACTGCATGGTTTAAATGCAAATTATACATCAGTTGGGGATATTTGATAATTGTTTTGTGGCTGGACAGATCTTGTAGTAAACATGTGTATGCTGGAAAATTTGGTTTTGTTTCATTTTCGGATACATTTGTTAATTGAAGAATTAATTTTAGATGCATTCGTTAATGGACCCCATTCGTTTTCTGAATTTGTTTCATATTTGCGGTATTCAGTTTAATTCATTCGGAATAGCCTGGTAGTTAAGGAGTGGGCAGCTAGTTAAGAAGTGACAGTTAAAAAAAAATTCTTTAAAAAACAGCGTGGGGGTTCCCTCCAAAATTCCAGACCATTCTTCAAGCATGCAGCCCGGCAGGGCAGGAAAGGGGGGGGGGAGCACCTCTCCTCCTAAAAACATACCAGGCCACATGCCCTATACATGGGGGGCTCCCCCCCAAAGCACCTTCTCGCCATGTAGGTAGGGACAAGGGCCTCTTCCCCACAACCCTGGGCGGTGGTTGTAGAGGGGCTTATCAGAATCTGAAATTTTCATCCAAAAAAGGAATCCAAATGAAATAAAATCGCACATGTCTATCTTGTAGTCTTCCATCAAGGCTGAACAATAGACAAAATGCTAAATATAGAGCTAAAATACCTGTATTTTAGGCACTTCTGCCAGACAGCATTTTCAGGTTGGTAAACTCACCTTCCTCCAATGTAGTTAAGCAATGCAATTAGGTAACCAACACACCCCAACCTGGGGACTGGACAATTAAAGGACATTACCTCAATGAGTCATCATTCTGCTCCCTTCTTCTGTTAGCAAGCATGCAAGGATTTTTTCTCAACCAACTCCATCCAAATATGACAAACACAACAACATGAATTAACTGAAGAGTGTCTGTGTTGGCCTCGGCCTCCAGTTACTCCCGCGTTTCCCGCGTTTCACCCCTCTTATTGGGGCTTGGTCACAGAGGCCTCTGTGACCAAGCCCCAATGAGCATAGCAACATGTGTCAGAGGGCATGGATGGAGTGAGGGCCAACACAGACACTCTTCAGTCAATTCATGTAGGTCAGTTTGAGTGGCACCCATCTTCCTTTTTGATTCCACACTCTTGGATAAGTGTCAGGACGCCAGCTCCCATCTTCAGAGTATCGGAGGGGTTACAATACATTACCTGACTTTGAGCGGTGCTGCAAGCCTGCTATATTGCTGATAGTAGACCCTGTCCATTCCCTAGAAGTGACATTACGATTAGAGTGGGATCACTGCAAACCCCATGGGCAGTGAAAATGGTGACCTTGCAGTGACCACAAATGGTGGTAAAACACTGTGGGGCTTATTTACTAAAGGTGGACAGCGCAAAATCTGGTGTAGCTCTGCATAGAAACCAATAAGCTTCCAGGTTTTATTTCCAAAGTTTAACTGATCAAGCTGAAGGTAGAAGCCGATAGGCTACCATGCACAGCTACACCAGATTCGAAGTGCTCCAGCTTTAGTAAATCCCCCAATGAAGTGGCTGAATAATGTGACAAAGGAGGTCCTAAAGGTCCCAAACGAACAACTGCAACCTGTGTGACCCCTGTTCCTACACCGCTGCCACCATCAGAAGTTGCAAAGTTGCTTACAGGGATTTTTTTAAGACTAACTTGATGGCAATAGGAAACAAACTAGTTAATGACATGGTACATACGGCTAAAACAAAATCAAAACTGTTGTGCGATGACTTAAATATTAATCGTCACACTAGCTTCAATTTTTTTTTCAATGAGCATGGGAGTGAGCTGGAGGCAAAATCGACAATGACATAATGCAGTAGTGGGTAGACAAAAAAAATGTCAACAATGGATTAAGATTAATATTTGACAAAGTGTGAGTAGCTTTAATGAACTCAGGAGGAAGCACCAGGTGTTACTGTACAATAGGTGCGTGCAGATGTTGGGACTCCTGTCAGGATGCAATTCAAAATGTGTAGAGTTTCCAAAACAATCTTTTCATTTGAATATCATTGTTTTGGTGCCAATGAACACCAAGATCACAAGAGAGCCTTCTTTTTTTTTTTGGGGGGGCATAGTGCTAGGGTATGATTATGTTATTTGTTACATTCACATTTTAAAAGCTAAAATCTTTTTTTTTAGTTTCAAATAAAGTGGTGACTTTTTTAAAACCCTTATCTGTTTTTAATTGTTGCCTGTGTCCCTGCTGGAAAGATTTACCTTCCTGTCTTGTGTGACTACCAAAATGGGAAGTAAGCAGGAGATTTCTGAGACAAAGTAGGTAAAATGTAGTCCCACAGAGGAGGAGTCCATGAGGTTAAATGCTCTAAAGAAGGGTCTTCTACCTCAAAATGGTTCTAAAGGCTATGCATGAAGGTAAAAAACATTCTTTGTGCAGTGGCCTCCCATCCTAACCTGATCCCTCTCCGATCCAGCGATGTTCACAATATCCTTGGCTGTATGAGGACTCTTTCTCCCCATTGGCTCCCGTTGCTGTCAATCACAGCCAATGAACCAATGAGGAGAGAGTGGGGGTCTTATGGACGCACAGAACAGTGGCTCAGGAGTGAGCACACAGCGGTGCCCCCAGGCAACCGGCATTTTCTGGGTCACTGCTCAGGGGGGAGAAGCTAGAAGCACTAATGGGGGACCTGATGAAGAGGATCGGAGCTGTTCTGTGCAAAACGACTGCACAGAGCAGGTAAGTATGACATATTTCTAATTTTGAAAAAAAAAAAGATTTAGTATCACTTTAAGCTATACATTTTTGTTGGTAATCTCAACAAAATACTATCAATGCATTTCACTGGCACTGAATGGACATTCATTAAGGTAGGTGCAAAAACTGCAAGAAAAAAAGAGAGGAAAAAGCAAGACAAACCCTAAGGGTCCTTTCACACGGGGCAGACCCGTTTAGTGGATCTGCTTGCTCAGCGGGGGGATCTCTCCGCTGATCCTCGCTGATCAAGCAGATGATGACTGCTTTGTGTCCGCTCCGCTGCTGCAGAGCAGACACAGAGCTGCTCGCTCTCCTCAATGGGAGGTCGGATGAAAACGGACTGTTTGTCCGCTTTTATCTGACCTGATCCAATGAACGGAAGGGGAATTGGATCCTCTTCCGTCCCTTTTTGCCATTTAGGATCGGATCAGATTTTGGTGGCTGTAAACGAACACATGGCCGTTTACACCCGCTGCTCCAAAAAGAGAATGGAATGGGGTTCAGATTGGGTCCACCTGAAAAACGGGCAGGCGGACCCAATCAGAAGGTTCCATGTGAAAGAGCCCTAACTAAGCTTAGATCTACTGCCATGCCCATTCTAAGCCTTTTCTATCTACCTTGTAAAGGAAAGATGCCTACATTTAACTATTCTGAAGTCGCACCAGTCTGGTCACATAATTGGGCCCCAGCACCTGGGAGATCATGTGACTGGACCAGAGCGACTTCAGAATAGGTAAGTACATACATCTTTCCATTTACAAGGTAAAAAGATAAGTCTTAAGGTGAGAATACACGATTAGAAAATCGACCGATCAGTCATCCGACGACCAAGAGGCGTGCGCTCATTGGTCGAAATTGTGGCCCACATTAACCAATCTAAAAAAAATTGTT